AAAGCTATTGGGTATTTTTCAAAATTCGTTCAAGGATGCCCTTTTCTTTTACATGAATCTCCTCTGGGTTACACGTAGAATATCGAAGAACGAATTTTCAGTACAACACACCGCTAGGAGTCAGTACTTTAAACATAGCATAGTTTAGCATATGTGGCGTTTCACTTTTCAGCACGCCATCAATGCCCGACCAATTGCAGTAGATGATCCAGGGACGGCGGAGCCAGGGGGACTGGGGGGCTTTAGCCCCCTAATTTCAAGCAAAAACTACATAGAATAATTTTACAAATATCTCCAGACCCCCAGCAAGTTAGAGCGCCTCTGGCGTTCGCTTGTAAGCTCCCACAATTCAAAAATAGACGCTCCGCCATCCCTGTGATCATCTGCATGCGTTGACGTTTTACATATATGTGTGTTATCTATGTGCGTTTTATCTGTGTTAAACTGCAAAATTGTGAAACTACTTAGATACTCAAAGAGACAATTTGCTCTGCGTCATCAGTAAATATAGTAAAGATTTTAAAGATGGTATCAAATTACCTTCGGGGTTGTAAATTTCGAACACGTTGCTTGTTTTTCCTCGCTTTCTGTCGGAGGGAGAATGCTACCATACAAATAATGATTAGAAGTAAGCCAAGTCCAACCACTAAGCCATATAACTGAGGAGACGAAAGACCTTTTCCATCCTGATAGGCTGGAGAGTTCGTTAAGTTTTTTTCTGCTAGGGTTAAGACGGAAGGTGAGGACGGGGTATCATCGTTTCTATCAGAACCTGCAAACAAGTTAGGAAAAGAAATAAAAACCTGCTGTGAATAGATATCTGAACAACTTAAACGTCCCTGCTATTTCGTAAACTACGGCAAACAGTGTTATTCATCCGTTTCTGTATTCATATTGGAGCATACGACCCCTATCTACCTAGAGGATACGCGTGAAACTAGCCAAGGATGATGTAGCTTCTTCTCTGGATATTGTAATTTATTTATTACATATTTAATTGAAAACGAGTGGGAGGAGCGGTGGTCTCATAGCTAGTACGCTCGTCTCCGGATCGAGCCCTAGCCGGGCCGACACTGCGTTGCGTTATCGGGCAAAACACTTTACTCTCAAAGTGCCTCTCACCCACCCAGGTGTATAAAAGGGTACCGGCAAACTTAATGCTGGAGGTAACCCTGAGCTGAACTAGCATCTCATCCAGGTGGGAGTAGAATTATTCTTAGTCGTTTCATGCTAGAGAGCTGATGGGCCACTTGGCTCGTATGCAGACTTTACCATATGACCTCTACAGATAGTGGAATCCCTTTATTTTTTTTCCGCCTCTTTTACCGGGTTGTCTATGCAAACGCCACCTGATTTTGATAACATTGACGTTAGCCATCCCATAACCACTCGCCACCTTAAATCCAGGTTCTTGTTGGCGATCAAATCCAAAACGGCGCCTTCTTCATGCTAGCCGGAAGCTTTCTTGGATTTGTATCATCCGTTTCCCTTCACCCCTCTGCTGCCTTCCCATATCTGGTATTGTATACAGTCGAACCTCTCCACAACTACAGTGGAAAGTGGCCGTTGAGAACTGGCCTTTATGGGGAGGTAGGTTGTATCTTTTAGGGGATGCAACCAGTTTTTATCTTTAAAAAAATACTTATTGTAGCGTGTAAATAAGTAACACAATCAAAATATATCGATAAAACAGAAACCAAGCAGAAACAGAGTCCAACGACGCGTGGTATGGGTCAATTTTCGTTATGATTTGAAAAGAGGGTTTTGTATGCACCGTTCCTTCGTTGTTGATTAACTGGCTGCTGTCGAGAGGTTACTTTGGCAGTTGGGTCACAATTTTGTGGCCGTTGCCGTTGCGGAGAGGTGGCCGTTGTAGAGAGATCAAAATAAGAATGAATACATGGACAGTCCGCCTAGACAAAAAAAGTGGCCGATGTAGAGAGGTGGCCGTTAGTGGAGGTTCGACTGTAATTAGTCAGTAAACGTACCTGACATTGTTTTTATTATCCATGTTCTCGATCTGTCGCTTTCTCCCAGCTCATTCCAGGCCGACATTTCGATTGAGTACTGCCTTCCGCATTCTAATGTTACAGTAAAGTTCGTCGCCATAACGTTAGTGACGTTAGTTTGGTGCCAGCCTATTTCTGGTGTCTGAATCTGTTGATGGTATATCGAGTACATGGTCAGCGGACACCCATGGTCAGCAGGAGGGCTCCATATCACGTTGACATCACATGCCAATGATTTTGTTTCCTTGATGTTTGTAACAGGAGGTGATGGAACATCTGCGGTAGAAAATGAAAGATTTGAAACGACGGAATATATATGGTCGGTAAGAAGAGTTTTTTCAGAAATGGCATGTATAGCTATGAACGTACTACAGCCAAATCTGCCCAACCCCTCAATTCCCGACATCACTTGACACCGAACCCTTGACTTTTTTTTCCGTGTTGGCCTTTTTGAAATGTAAAGTGTCTTTAAATTATGGGTGGCCGATGAGTATGGTCCTAATTTTAAATGGGTATATATGTAGCTTATTCAATCGTGTCAATCAATAATATCAAAACAAAAAACATCCCTGTGTTAGAGTAAAACTTCATAAAAACCACAGAAGCCAAATTATCAGTTTCACCATCTATATACAATGTCTAAACAACGCACACTTTGACTTAGAGAACATCCTATATCGTTGCCTTTAGCTTTTAATGAAGTTCACAGTCCTTAAGTCACATAAGGAATGCTTACCTCCTTCTGTTTTGAAATTCCATATCTTGATATCATTCAAAGCACTCTGCCAGTATTCACACATTGAGGTAACTGTTATATCATACTCATTCTTACACTTCAGCTGAAGTGTAAAACTGGTCGCATTTCTGTTTACTGTAACAGAGCGCCATTTGCTTTTCTGCACTGGTGACATCACTTTTCTGTAGTTCACAGTGTAGTTGACAACTGGACAGCTTCCTTCAAAGAGTGGTTCCCACGCCACAACAACGGTTCCCCCTGATACGATCTCGGTCGTGTTGACAATAACAGGAACGCCTTAAAGGAGTTTCAGAAGAATACTGTGCAACTGATCATGGCAATCCCAAAGTTGAGATGAAAATTAATTTAGTACAGTAAGGGTGGTTGAAAGAAGGCAGATGTGGGGCAAAGGACGAACCGACAAACTCGACTAACTTTGGTTCCAAAGTTGACTTAAAATTTGAAAATGACCCACTCTGCTGCGATAATTCGGATCTTAATTATTTATCGTTAGAATCCGTAAGGCTCACCTCTTAGTTTATTGATTTGATC